CGCACCCGCCGTGGAGGCGGGAGCCGACGCACCTACCTCTAGCACCCGCCTTCGAGGTGGACGGCGGCGGTTCCGCCGTAGAGGCAGGAGGGATGCCCTCGCCGTAGAGGCGGGAGGCAAAGAACCAACAGTGGAGGCGGGAGCCGACGCACCCGCCGTGGAGGCGGGAGCCGACGCACCCGCCGTGGAGGCGGGAGGCGACGCACCCGCCGTGGAGGCGGGAGCCGACGCACCCGCCGTGGAGGCGGGAGCCGACGCACCTACCTCTAGCACCCGCCTTCGAGGTGGACGGCGGCGGTTCCGCCGTAGAGGCAGGAGGGATGCCCTCGCCGTAGAGGCGGGAGGCGAAGAACCAACAGTGGAGGTGGGAGCCGACGCACCCGCCGTGGAGGCGGGAGGCGACGCACCCGCCGTGGAGGCGGGAGCCGACGCCCCCGCCGTGGAGGCGGGAGCCGACGCACCCGCCGTGGAGGCGGGAGCCGACGCACCTACCTCTAGCACCCGCCTTCGAGGTGGACGGCGGCGGTTCCGCCGTAGAGGCAGGAGGGATGCCCTCGCCGAAGAGGCGGGAGGCGAAGAACCAACAGTGGAGGCGGGAGCCGACGCACCCGCCGTGGAGGCGGGAGCCGACGCACCCGCCGTGGAGGCGGGAGGCGACGCACCCGCCGTGGAGGCGGGAGCCGACGCACCCGCCGTGGAGGCGGGAGCCGACGCACCCGCCGTGGAGGCGGGAGCCGACGCACCTACCTCTAGCACCCGCCTTCGAGGTGGACGGCGGCGGTTCCGCCGTAGAGGCAGGAGGGATGCCCTCGCCGTAGAGGCGGGAGGCGAAGATCCAACAGTGGAGGCGGGAGCCGACGCACCCGCCGTGGAGGCGGGAGGCGACGCACCCGCCGTGGAGGCGGGAGCCGACGCACCCGCCGTGGAGGCGGGAGCCGACGCACCCGCCGTGGAGGCGGGAGCCGATGCACCCGCCGTGGAGGCGGGAGCCGACGCACCTACCTCTAGCACCCGCCTTCGAGGTGGACGGCGGCGGTTCCGCCGTAGAGGCAGGAGGGATGCCCTCGCCGTAGAGGCGGGAGGCGAAGAACCAACAGTGGAGGCGGGAGCCGACGCACCCGCCGTGGAGGCGGGAGGCGACGCACCCGCCGTGGAGGCGGGAGCCGACGCACCCGCCGTCCCAGCACCCGCCTTCGAGGTGGACGGCGGCGGTTCCGCCGTGAGGCAGGAGGATGCCCCTCGCCGTAGAGGCGGGAGGCGAAGAACTGAACAGTGGAGGGTGGAGCGACGCACCGCCGTGGAGGCGGGAGCCGACGCACCTGCCGTGGAGTGCGGATGACGCACCTGCCGTGGAGGGCGGGGCCGACGCACCTGCCGTGGAGGCAGGCGGAGCCGTGACGCACCTGCCGTGGGAGGCGGGAGCCGACGCACCCAACGTGGAGGCGGGAGCGACGCACCTGCCGTGGAGGCGGGAGCGACGCACCTACCCCAGCACCCGCCTTCGAGGTGGACGGCGGCGGTTCCGCCGTAGAGGCAGGAGGGATGCCCTCGCCGTAGAGGCGGGAGGCGAAGAACCAACAGTGGAGGCGGGAGCCGACGCACCCAACGTGGAGGCGGGAGCCGACGCACCCAACGTGGAGGCGGGAGGCGACGCACCCGCCGTGGAGGCGGGAGGCGACGCCCCCGCCATGGAGGCGGGAGCCGACGCACCTACCTCCAGCACCCGCCTTCGAGGTGGACGGCGGCGGTTCCGCCGTAGAGGCAGGAGGGATGCCCTCGCCGTAGAGGCGGGAGGCGAAGGACCAACAGTGGAGGCGGGAGCCGACGCACCCGCCGTGGAGGCGGGAGCCGACGCACCCGCCGTGGAGGCGGGAGCCGACGCACCCAACGTGGAGGCGGAAGCCGACGCACCCGCCGTGGAGGCGGGAGCCGACGCACCTACCTCTAGCACCCGCCTTCGAGGTGGACGGCGGCGGTTCCGCCGTAGAGGCAGGAGGGATGCCCTCGCCGTAGAGGCGGGAGGCGAGGCATCTCAGCGGGTGAAAAGGTCATTGAAGATATAAATGGACCACGGCTCTATTCTTGTTAATTTTGGCCGTGGCCATTTTGGATTTTGTCATGTGTTCGCCCAAAACTGATTCTCAATGAATCTTTTTACATTTTCTTATAAATTTTTACTACTGTATAATATTCATTTGAGAGCAGTGAATAATAATGCATTTGTTAATATAGTCTTAAAATTTGTTCATTCATATTTTCTGGGCTAATGCCTCCTTAAGGAGGCCATTTACGTCTATCTTTTTTCCATTTTTGTGTTTCTTAATTGTTCTTTATTATTATTATTATTATTATTATTATTATTATTATTACAGTGTGGTTATCATTATTATTATTATTATTATTATTATTATTATTATGACAGTGTTGTTATTGTTATTATTATTATTATTATTATTATTATTATTATTATTATTATTATTACAGTGTTGTTATTGTTATTATCATTATTATTATTATTATTATTATTATTATTATTATTATTTTTATTATTACAGTGTTGTTATTATTACATTTTCGCCCCCCAGGCCCTGATGTGGGTCAGTAACCTGTTCCCGGGTGGAGTGATCCCTGTAAAAAATAAAAATAAGTAAATAAACAACAACAACAACAACAGGGAGGCAATAGTGACCAGAAGTAAACAAAACAAAAGAACATCAACACTGACGGACCACCCGAGTCGTGTTGGATCCTTCACGCTGTAAGAGACAGACAGACAGATATAAGTTAGCAACACGCACTAGGACTACACCCACACACAACACACTAGGTCACGGTTCACCTGTCACACCGTAAGAGACAGACAGACAGATATAAGTTAGCAACACGCACTAGGACTACACCCACACACAACACACTAGGTCACGGTTCACCTGTCACACCGTAAGAGACAGACAGACAGATACAAGTTAGCAACACGCACTAGGACTACACCCACACACAACACACTAGGTCACGGTTCACCTGTCACACCGTAAGAGACAGACAGACAGATATAAGTTAGCAACACGCACTAGGACTACACCCACACACAACACACTAGGTCACGGTTCACCTGTCACACCGTAAGAGACATAGACAGACAGATATAAGTTAGCAACACGCACTAGAACTACACTCCACACACAACACACTAGGTCAGCTGGTTCACCTGTCACACCGTAAGAGACAGATATAAGTTAGCAAACACGCACTCAGGACTACACCACACACAACACACTAGTCACGGTTCACCTGTCACACCGTAAGAGACAGACAGACAGATATATGTTAGCAACACGCACTAGGACTACACCCACACACAACACTAATTAGGTCACGGTTCACCTGTCACGCTGTAAGAGACAGACAGACAGATATATGTTAGCAACACGCACTAGGACTACACCCACACACAACACACTAGGTCACGGTTCACCTGTCACACCGTAAGAGACAGACAGACAGATATAAGTTAGCAACACGCACTAGGACTACACCCACACACAACACACTAGGTCACGGTTCACCTGTTACACCGTATGAGACAGACAGACAGATATATGTTAGCAACACGCACTAGGACTACACCCACACACAACACACTTGGTCACGGTTCACCTGTTACACCGTAAGAGACAGGCAGACAGATATATGTTAGCAACACGCACTAGGACTACACCCACACACAACACACTAGGTCACGGTTCACCTGTCACACCGTAAGAGACAGACAGACAGATATAAGTTAGCAACACTCACTAGGACTACACCCACACACAACACACTAGGTCACGGTTCACCTGTCACACCGTAAGAGACAGACAGACAGATATAAGTTAGCAACACGCACTAAGACTACACCCACACACAACACACTAGGTCATGGTTCACCTGTCACACCGTAAGAGACAGACAGACAGATATAAGTTAGCAACACGCACTAGGACTACACCACACACAACACACTAGGTCACGGTTCACCTGTCACACCGTAAGAGACAGACAGACAGATATGTTAGCAACACGCACTAGGACTACACCCACACACAACACACTAGGGTCACGGTTCACCTGTCACACCGTAAGAGACAGACAGACAGATATAAGTTAGCAACACGCACTAGGACTACACCCACACACAACACACTAGGTCACGGTTCACCTGTCACACCGTAAGAGACAGACAGACAGATATGTTAGCAACACGCACTAGGACTACACCCACACACAACACACTTAGGTCACGGTTCACCTGTCACACCTGTAAGAGACAGACAGACAGATATATGTTAGCAACACGCACTAGGACTACACCCACACACAACACACTAGGTCACGGTTCACCTGTCACACCGTAAGAGACAGACAGACAGATATAAGTTAGCAACACGCACTAGGACTACACCCACACAACACACTAGGGTCACGGTTCACCTGTCACACCGTAAGAGACAGACAGACAGGAGCAGGTTAGCAACACGCACTAGGACTACACCCACACACAACACACTAGGTCACGGTTCACCTGTCACACCGTAAGAGACAGACAGACAGATATAAGTTAGCAACACGCACTAGGACTACACCCACACACAACACACTGGGTCACGGTTCACCTGTCACACCGTAAGAGACAGACAGACAGATATAAGTTAGCAACACGCACTAGGACTACACCCACACACAACACACTAGGTCACGGTTCACACCTGTCACACGTAAGAGACAGACAGACAGATATAAGTTAAGACACATGCACTAGACTACACCCACACACAACACACACTAGGTCAAGGTCTACCTGTCACACCGTAAGAGACAGACAGACAGATATAAGTTAGCAACACGACTAGGACTATACCCACACAACATTAATTAGGGTCACGGTTCACCTGTCATGCCACCGAAAGAGACAGACAGACAGCTGAGGTTAGCAACACGCACTAGGACTACACCCACACACAACACACTAGGTCACGGTTCACCTGTCACACCGTAAGAGACAGACAGACAGATATAAGTTAGCATCATGCACTAGGACTACACCCACACACAACACACTAGGTCACGGTTCACCTGTCACACCGTAAGAGACAGACAGACAGATATAAGTTAGCATCATGCACTAGGACTACACAAACGCCGCTCTCCGGGCGGCTCATTCTTTAGGCCACGGTAGGACGCCACCCTCCGGGAGGCTCCACATTGTCTCACTATTCAGTTCCTAAAACTTCTTCCATCAATAGTTCATTAACGGTGTATGTAAGTTCCACCATGTTTTTCACTACAACGGTACTGCAAAGTATAATTGTTTTAGCATTAAACTGTTATTATTTTATTGTCTAATCATCACTACATATAACACCATCCATCATCACTACATATAACACCATCCATCATCACTACATATAACACCATCCATCATCACTACATATAACACCACCCATCATCACTACATATAATACCATCCATCA